TCAGTTCCCAGCACCCATATGGTGGCTAACGACCTCTTGTAACTCCAATTCTAGAGGTGCACTTACACACATGCAGACAATACACCTATACATGGAAAATAAAAATAATAAATAAAACATTTTAAAGAGAGCTTTCTTTTTTGTCCCCTGACAAGGTCTTACTATGTAGCCCAGACTGGACTTAAACTTCCTGCTCAAAACTCAATAGTCTGAAGATGAGAGTTGGTAGGCAGTTAATCAGGTTTAAGAGTTGGCCCCCTGAAAATATTGGGAGCAATTGCACCCCCCCCCCCGAAGACCATCTTAGGGAACTCAGGCTCATGAAAAGCCTTACATGCTACAGGAAGGGAGAAGAGGTGCAGAAACCATGGGACAGAAGACCAGGCTTTATCATCCCTCTTTCAGGGCATGTGTCTGTCTTTTCCTCTTTCTTTTTTTTTTAATTCTGGCTAAACATTTGACCTTGATCTCCAGGGTGCTAGTTCGTACAACTCTTTAAACAAATATATTGCTTTCTTCCAGTTAAGCATCACAACAATTTACGTGCTTGGTGTTAGTTGAGTGTAGACTAGGTGTTAGCAGAGTGTAGACTAGGTGTTAGTTGAGTGTAGACTAGGTGTTAGCTGAGTGTAGACTAGGTGTTAGTTGAGTGTAGACTAGGAATAAGGGTGTTATTCTGTTGTTTTCTCAAGGTCACCAGATGCTCTGCATTCTACAAATCTCTCTCTGTCTCTCTCCCTCTCTCTCCCTCTCTTTCTCTCCCTCTCTCTCTCTCTCTTTCCCTCTCTCTCTTTCTCTTGTCTTAGGTAGGAACTAAACCTAGGACCTCATACATGTTAAGTAAGCACTGTATCAGTGAGCTACATCCCCAATCCATTTAAAAAAATTTTTTTGGTCTTTTTGAGACAGGGTCTCCCTGTAGCCCCAGCTGTCCTGGAACTCACTATGTAGACCAGGCTTGAACTCACAGAGATCTGCCTGCCTCTGCCTCCCGAGTGCTGGGGTTAAAGGTGTGTGCTACCACTCCCAGCTAAAAATTATTTTTTTTAATTATCTAGGTATAGGATCTTACTAAGTTCCACACTGGCCTTAAACTCATCCTATAGCCCAGGCAGTCCTTGAGATTTAAATCATCCTGCCTTAGCTTCTCTCATTACTGGGATTACAAGCCTGTGGCACCAAGCCTAACTCAAATGTCTGTTTTCTTTAGAGTTTAGGATGCCAGGGAAAGGGAGAAAATTAACTCTACAAAGGACATCTCCCAAAGAAGCATCCACTGTCACAGTCAGGGTGTTTCTTCCCTAGAGATAGAATAACTTCCTTCTGTCAGGAATCTGTAACCTTCCTAGATCAACTCATAGAACTATGCTGGGCATGGTGGTACACACCTTTAATCCCAGCACTCAAGAGGTAGAGGCAGGTGGGTCTCTGTGAGTTCAAGGCCAGCCTGGTCTACATAATGAGTTCCAGGCCAGCTGGGGCTACAGGGAGACCCTTTCTCAAAAATAGAAAGAAAAGCAGTTCTATGTACAGTTAGAGTTTGTTACAGTGCAGATACTAAATAGAGCAAAAGAAAAGGACAACAGAGTCCAGTAGAGACAAGATGCAAGCAAGTTTCAGGCACTTTCTCCCAGTAAGGTGCTGTGGACACTGGCTTCCCCCAAGCAAGGTTATGTGGCAGCACTTAAGTATTCCCAACCAACAGGCCAGGCATGGTGGCTCATGCCTGTAGACCCAGCTGTGCACGTCACTGACTGGCTGGCTCTTAAATGAGGGTTCTATAGCTCCTCTCTTCAGGTTCAGTTAATTTACTGGAACAGCTGACAGGACTCACTGAGACACATTTACCCAGTTATTAGCAAGGATGTTGCAAATGATACCGTCAAACATCCAGATGGAATAGATGCCTAGCAAGGCACATGGAAAGGGTAACAGTTTCCACACCTCTCTAGGCGCACCATCCTCCAGGCAGCTGTGCATTCTGCCATCCACAAGAACCAAGTGCTGTTGAGTTTTATGGAAGCTCTGTGATAAAATCCTTGTTATCAGTGATCAACTCACTCCACCCTCTGCCTCTCTCTTCCATCACACTGGGTGATAGAGTCAAAAGTCCCAGGCCTGTAATTATGCCTTAGTCTTTCCTGGGGCCAGTCCCCATCCTAAAGCGATCTAGGAACCTCCAACAGACAAAAGACACTTAGCACTGGGCATGGTGGTGCGCACCTTAGTCCCAGCAATTGGGTAACAGAGGCAGGCAGATCTCTGTGGGATAGAGGCCAGCATGGTCTCTATAATGAGTTCCAGGCCAGCTGGGGCTACAGGAAGAGCCTGTCTCAAAAAGATACATAAGAAAAAAACAGAAAAAAAAAAAACATACCAAATGAGAGTCCAAGAGTTTTAGGAGGTGGTCGTTTTGTTTATCCTTTGACAATTTCATACATGTATATACAATGCACCTTGATTATACCTCTCAACATCTCCCTCCTCTCACTACCCCGGGACACCCCCTAATAGGTCTCCCTTCCGCTTTCATATCCAAGAGGAATTTTTTTTTTCAGATAATTGGGACAAAATCAAATATCTATTTTTCACTATCGAAGCCGTCTAGAGCAAAATGGCACATGGCAATGTCTGGAAACAATTTTGGTTTTACCCCTTAGGAGGTGCTGCTGTGCCTTTGGTGTAGAGACCAGGATGCTACTAAGCATCCCATAATGCACGGTACACAAGCCTTCTACAGCAAGTAATTATCTGTCCCACGTCAACACGTGCAGAAGCTGAGAACTCCTGGTATAGAATGATTCCGGGTTATCAGGCCTAATAGGTTTATCAAAGGACAAAATTATAACAATTTAGCCTAAAGAGCTTTCTTTTTTTGTCCCCCTGACAGGGTCTTACTATGTAGCCCAGGCTGGACCCAAGTGCTGGGACCATAGTCATCACTTTTAAAAACTTAATTGGCTTTATTTTCTACTCTAGAAAATAATCAGGCAACATTTCTTTCCAGAGACTAGAATGAATAATTAAGTGTACCAGTGAGCCAAGGAGGAAATTTGGTTTTATAGACAGAAAAGACCTGAAGGAGACACAGAGGAAGGGGCGGGTGTGTAGCTCAGTCGTAGAGTGCATGTTTAGAATGGGGTAGCCTGGGTTAGATCCCCAGCACTGAGAAGGAGAAGGAAAAAAAGAATCAGAGACCACTTGTTCCCTGTCTCTAATGCCCTCCCTAACCCAAGCCCTAGGAAACTATTGCTTCTTCCCCTCTATTCTCTCCTACTGTGGGCATTTCATACTAGTAGAAGTCTATGATACTCGGTCTCTTGTGACTTTTTTCAATATTTTATTACTTTTTTTTCTTTCAGTCTTTCTGAGACAGGGTCTCCTTGTAGGCCCAGCTGGCCTGGAACTCACTATGTAGACCAGGCTGGCCTTGAATTCATAGAGATCTGCCTGCCCTGCCTCCCGAGTGCTGAGACTAAAGGCGCGTGCTACCACACCTGGCTTGTTTTATTACTTTTATTTTACGTGTATGAGTATATTGCCTTCATGCATGTAAGTGCATCCGTGTCATGCGATGCCCACAGAGTCAGAAAAGGGCAACAGATTCCCCTGGATCTGGAGTTATGGATGATTGTTAGTCGCCATGTAGGTGCTGGTAATTGAACCCGGGTTCTCTGAAAGAGCAGCAAGTGCTCTTAACTGCTGAGCCATCTCTCCAGCCCCTTCATTCTTTTTTATAGCTCATAGTCCATTATATGACACTATTATGGTTTATTCACTCAACAGTTGGTGGAAATTTGTGTTATCGCTACCTTTGGCTGTCACAAATAATGCTTACCAAGAACATTGTGTATAGGTGTTTGTGTCAATGAATGTTTTTTGTTTGTTGTTTGTTTGTTTCGGTATTTTTGAGACAGGGTCTCTCGGTAGCCCCAGCTAGCCTGGAACTCACTATGGAGAAAAGGCTGGCCTCAAACTCACAGAGATCTGCCTGCCTCTGCCTCCCAGGGGCTGGGATTAAAGGCATGTGCCACCACACCCCGTGTCAATGAATGTTTTTATGTCTCTTACCAAGTATGTGCCTAAGAGTGGAATTGCTGGGTTATGTGACAACCCTGCATTTAACCATTCAAAGGTCCTAGGTAATGGTCATTTTACATTCCTCTTTGCACTGTAGAGGGATCTCCACATCCTTCCTAGCACTTGCTATGTCTTTTCATTCTAGCCACCCTCGTGGATGTGCAATGTTATGTTCTTTTTCTGCATCTCCTTACTGGCTAAGCATCTTTCCACGTGCCAGCTGGCAGTAAGTTATGTCAGCAGCAGTCTCAGAGTTAAGAGTCTCAAGCAGGCATCTGTATAGAAGTGGTATCTACAATTCTAGACTCAATACAAGGACTGTGAACAGGCCTAATCATCTGGAAACTGGACAAGATTAAAGTGATGATATCACTGTTTGAGAACAGCCAGTGGGGGCTGGGGAGACAGCTCAGCACTTAAGAAGACCCGAGTTCAGTTCCCAGCACTCACATTGGGTGACTTGCTCATAACTCCAGTTCCAGGGAATCTAATGTCCTCTTCTGGTCTCTGCAGGCACCCATATACATATAAATAAAAATACAAATTTTCAAAAAAAGTATCCTTAGAAACAAAGAAATTGCAACTAATAGGCCTAATCAGTGGGACAGGATTCTGAATTCATATATCAGGGATCCAAAGTCAAGGAGTTTCCTAATTAAACTCAGATGCTTAAACCTATGCCATTCCCATCAGTTCAGACCAAGGTAAGCCAGAGACGAGCCTGTGGGGCTGAATACAGGGGGTTCCCCACATATGGCCAAGAGGTGTGAGGCAGTAGAAGCATCCACATCTGGTTCCTGGCCCCTGACATAAGCATGGAGAGTAAATCCAGGAAGGGTACATGTTCGGGCCAGATCACTTAGGGAGGCCAAACAGATTTTAACTATTCGGCATACTTATGCTGAAATTTACTTTTGTAGAAACTGCAAAGACAAACACCACTACCACAAAGCCAAGCTTCAAAGGGTCAAGGACCGGTTTGTTCATAAATTAGAAATACGAAATAAGAGGATTAAAGAACTTGAAGATGAAACTGGAAAACTGCAACAAAAAATTGAAATGGTGAGAAAAAACAAATGCTAGTGGTGGTTAGCCAGGTAGGGACACCCACTCAGCTTTCCATTCTTCACAATCTCTTCACAGCCTGGGCCTTCATTTCAGTACCATCTTCCATCTTTTGATGTGAGGAATTCTTTTTTGATGCACATGTGTGTGCAGGTGCACATGGAGGCAACCTCAGATGTCAGCCTCAGGAACACCCATGCATCTCCTTTGAGACTGGGTCTCTCTTTGGCCTGGAGCTCACCAATTAGGCTAGACTGGCTGGCAAGCAAGCCCCAGGCATCCTCCTGCCTCCACCACCCCAGCGCTGGGATTACAAGCCCTCACATGACCAGTGTTTTTACATGGTTTCTGGTCATCAAACTTAGGTCCTTGTGCTTGCAAGGGACAAATTGTTCCAGTTTGCTTTCTGTGGCTGTGATAAACACCATGACCAAACATAACTTGCTGATGAAAGGGTTTATTTCATCTTATACTTCCAAGCCAGAGTCCATCTTTGAGGGAAGTTAGGCAGGAATCCAGAGGCAAGAACTTGGAGGCAGAAACCATGGAGAAACATTGCTTACTGACTTGCTCCCTGGCCTATATTCTACTAGCTTTCTTGTACAGTCTGGACCCACCTACCTAGGGATGATACCACAGTGGGCCCTCCCACTTCAATCATCAATCAAGACAGTCTGTCACAGGCATAGCCACAAACCAATCTGATCTGGAAAAATTAACTGAGGCTCCCCTTCCTAGGTGATTCTAGGTTATGCCAAGTTGACAATAAAATTAGCTGGGTGTGATAGCACACGCCTTTAATCCTAGCATTTGGGATGCAGAGGCAGGAGGATCTCTGTGAGTTCAAGGCCAGCCTGAGTTGACATATGGAGTTCTAGACCAGCTGGGGCTACAGGGACACCCTGTCTCAAAAGAGACCCCAAAAAACTAACCAGTACACAAGGTATGCACTTTACCAACTGAGCTATCCTCCACCCCATCCCAGCCTCACAGACCGAATGTGAGGAATTCTCTAAGACCTGTCGAACTTGTGGGGTGGCTAACCTAAATGGGGTACCAAAGATTCTTCACTGCCAATGTACAACTGTCTCATCTTCAAGTGGAAATAAAATTCTTGGAGCTGGAGTGATGGCTCAGTGGTTAAGAGTACTTACTGTTCTGGTATAGGACCTGAGTTCAGTTCCCAGCACCCACATCAGGTGGCTTATAACTGCCTATAACTCCAGCTCCAGGGTGATCCAACATCTCTTACCTCTGCTGGTACACACACACACACACACACACACACACACACACACACACACACATTTTATATATAATAAAATAATTTTTAAAAATGCTTTATTTTTATTTTATGTGTATGTGTATTATTTTTATTTTATTGCCTGCATGTGCGTAAGTGCATCCGCATCATGCAATGCCCACAGAGGTCAGAAGAAGGCATCGGATTCCCCCAGAACTGGAGTTATGGATGGCTGTTAGCCACCATGTGGTGCTGGGAATAGAACCCAGGTCCTCTGCAAGAGCAGTCAGTGCTCTTGACTGCTGAGCCATCTCTCCAGCCCCAAGATAATAATTTAAAAAAACAAAATAACATTCCTTGTGTGCGTGTGTGTGTGTGTGTGTGTTGTGTGTACTTAGTTAAACATTGTACCCTCAAATTGATGTCTCTTACTTAGAACCCCAGAATATAACCTGCCAATTTGGAAATCAGGTCTTTGCAGGTGCAATTGGTTAAAATGAGGTCATCCTGGATGAAAATTAATTTTAAGTCCAATATGCCTGGAGTGTTTGCAAGAGGAGGGGTAGACAGACAAGTGTATGAGGAACACCTCACAAGGCCACAGGCAAGAGATGGGAGGGATGTGTCTCTAAGCCGAAGAAGATGCAGGTGACTGGCAACTGCTTGGCACTAGGAGAAAGGCATGGAACAGAGTCTCCCTGTAAGCACTCAGGGTATAGCCCAGCAGTAGAGCTTGCCTAACATCACAAGGCCCTGGCTTTGACCCCAGTACTGGTGGAAGAACCTCCTTCTGAGTCCCCAGAAAGCATTAACCCAGGCAACATCCTGATTTCAGACTTCTAAGCCAGTAGAATTGTGAGAAAATAAATTTCTGCTGTTTAAAACCACTTAAAACATGGTAATTTGATCTTCCAATCCTGGGGAGCTAACACACCAACAAAAAGAGCCCTGAGTCTCCACCAAATATGTTGAGCATCACAAATGTGGTCAGAGGCACACACGTGGTTGCACACACCTTTAATTCCAGCTCTTGGGAGGCAGAGACAGCCTGGTCCACATAGTGGCTTCAAGATGGGCTGGGACTAGGGAGACCCTGTCAGAATAAAATAAACAAAACCAACAACAAATAAAGTCAGGGGCTATGAAAAATGGCTCTTAATCCCAGCACTTGGGAGGCAGAGGCAGGTGCATCTCTGTGAGATTGAGGGCAGCTGGGTCTACATAGTGTGTTCTGGGCCAGCTGGGGCTATAGGGAGAGCCTGTCTCAAAACAACCAGAAAAAAAATCCAAACAAAATTCACCTAGTATAACTAACCCCGATGTCAGCAGACAGCTGGGAACAGGCTCAGGTAGGAAAGACAGAAGTGAATTAAACTCTGGGCACAGGCTGACACTCTTACATTGTGTAATTCTTCCCCCTGCTGTGGTCACCCCTAGGAGAAGGCGTTCCAGGGCCAGGTCATGGCCCAAAATGACATTCTGCTCCAGGAGAAAAGGACACTTCTGGAGCAAGTCACAAACCAGGAAGAACTCATCTGCAGTAACAAGTCCACACTCTCTTCCATCCAGAGCAAGTAGGTGCAATGGTGCCTGGGTCTGGTGAGCTCCACAGAGAGCGTGCCCCCCACTCGGGGTAGAGGAGGCTCCAGGAAGTGTCCTGTGGACCTGTGGACCTGTGGCCAATCCTGCAACTCTTGTTCTTCTGTCTGCCATTTTCAGTAGTTCATGCCAGTGGCAGACACTGTGACATCCAAGAGGGTATCATGGACAGGCGTGATGATGCATGCCTTCAGTCCCAGCACTTGGGAGACAGAGGCAGTAGATCTCTGTGAGTTTGAAGTCAGCCTGGTCTACATAGTGAGTTCCAGGGCAGCCAGGGCTACAGAGTGGGACCTTGTCTAAAAAATAACCATAGGCCATAGAAGTGACTTAAATTTATGAAGCCCAGGGGATACCAGTGTGTTAATTTTTTAAAGAATTGTTTTTATTATTTTGTTTCTGTGTGTCTGTGTGAATCTATGCCAATTATGTATGTGCCAGTGGAGTCCAGAAGAGGGGGTCAGATCCCTTGGAGCTAGAGTTATAGGTGGTTGTGAGCTGCCTGACATGAATGCTGGAAATCGAACTTAGGTCCTCTAGAAGATGGAAGCAGTAAGTGCTCTGAACTGCTGAGCCATCTCTCCGGCCCCCAAGTGTGTTCATTTTTAGTGAGAAATATTCAAAGCAGATCAAAGTTTAGATACCGGCTAGCCCAAGCATCCTCTCCTCTATACAATCCTAGCACCTGGGAGGCTGAGGCAAGAATATGGCTGTGAATTCAAGGCCAACCTGGGCTTCATAGTGAGTTCCAGGCCAGACTAAAAATTCTTAGAGCAAAAGTCAGGGGCAGGAAGTTCTTCTGTTACTGCAGTTGCCCGTTGCTTCCTTCCAGTGTCCTCAATAAACTTGTCTTTTCCTTTAAAAATGAATGAAGGACTGGGGAGATGAGTTAACAGGGGTTAAGAGCACTGGCTGCTCTTACAGAGGACCAAAGTTTGCTTCCTAGCACCCAAATGGCGCCTAACCGCAACTCCAGTTCCTGGGGATCCGATGCCATCTTCAGATCTCCATGGGCATTGCATGTATGGGTGCACTTACATGCAGGCAAAACACATACACATCAAATAAAATTTTTTAAAGTGAAGCTGGGCATGATGGCACACGCCTTTAGTCCCAGCATTCAGGAGGCAGAGGCAGGCAGATCTCTGTGTGTTCAAGGTCAGCCTGGTCTACGTAGTGAATTCCAGACCAAATGTGGCTATAGGAAGACCCTCTCTCAAAAAGACCCCCCCAAATCAATTATTTCTATACTCCAACAATGAATTATATAAAAAAGAAATCAAGAAATAGGCCGACAGGATGGTTCAATGGATAAAGATCTTGCCACCAAGACTGACAACCTGAGTTCCACTCCTAGGACCCACATGGCAGTAGAGAACCATTTCCCATAAGCTGTCCTCTGACCTCCACATGAGCACTGTGGAACAATAACTATAATGATTAACATTGTTTTAGTACTTGTTGTATGTTTGGCCCTGTTCTAAGCTGATTCTTTACCCATTTAATCCTGATGCCAACCTTGGTTTGTGGATGAGGAAGTCAAGATGTAGAATGGTTAGGGGAGTCAGCCAGCCTGGTCAATGTCAGCAGCCTCAATCCTGAACACAGTACGGCACATGTCTACTGTTTTTTAACACATTTCCTTCTGACACTTGGAGAGTCCCTGGTTATCTTTGACTGTTTTCCCCTTTGTATAGCCCACATAAAATACTGCCCTTTTCAAATTATGTCATCGGTTCTGATAGTCATTTTGTGGCTGAGGAAACTGGGACTTGGATTTATTTTACATTTTATATATATTATATTTTATACATATGTCTTTTCCGGGCTCCCTGTAGCCCCAGCTGGCCTGGAACTCGCTATGTAGACCAGGCTGTCCTCAAACTCACAGTGATCCACCTGCCTCTGCCTCCCGAGTGCTGGAATTAAAGGCATGCACCACCATGCCTGGCCTGATTTATAATATTCTAAGAGTCACAAAGCTAGTAAATGGCAGGGCCAGAACTCAAACAGAAATCTCTAGTCAAAACTATGTTATATGGGTCTGGAACGATGGCTCAGTGGTTAAGAGAACTGGCCACTTTTGCCAAGGACTCATGTTTGGTTTTCAGCACCCACATGGGGGCCGACAACAGTCCTTAACTCCAGTTTCAGGGGTCCAACACCCTCTTCTGACCTCTGTAGGAATGCACATGGTGTACTACATACATGCAGCCAAATGCTCTTATACGTCAAATAAAAAAGAAAAATTTAAACTATTAGATAGAGAGGATAAAGGGGTGAATGTGAGCAGAGCACAATGCTGTGTATGTATGAAATGTAACAGTGAAGCCCATTACTTTGAACATTAAAAAGATTAATAGAGCTGGGCGTGGTGGCACACGCCTGTAGTCCCAGCACTTGGGAGGCAGAGGCAGGTGGATCTCAGTGAGTTCAAGGCCAGCCTGGTCTACTTAGTGAGTTCCAGGACAGCTGGGGCCACAGGGAGACCCTGTCTCAAAAAGACAAAAAAATATTAATAGAAAAAAATTAGGGGCCAGCAAGATGACTCAGCAGTAGAGGCACTTGCTGCCAAACCTGATGATCTGAGTTCAATTCCCTGGGACTCACAGGGTAGAAAGAAAGGGCTGACTCCCACAAGTTTTCCTCTGACCTCCACATGTATGCTATGGCATGCCCCTGCCCACTCACATACACAAAGTAAATAACTAAATGGAATAAAAAAAGTTTTAGCATGTATGAGTGTATTGCCTGAATGTATGTAAGTGCACCCCTGTCATGCAGTGCCCTCGGAGGTCAGAAGAAGGCTTTAGATTCCCCTGGAACTAGAGTTACAAATGATTGTTAGCCACCATATGGGTGCTGGGAACTGAACCTGGGTCCTCTGCAAGAACAGTCAGTGTTCTTAACAGTTGAGCCATCTCTCCAGCCCCATGGAATAAAAAGTTTTGAAACAGAGAAAGAAAGACAGGGAGGGAGGGAGGGAAGGAGGGAGAGAGAGAGGGAGAGAGGGAGGGAGGGAGGGGAAATAGCTCCTACTTACAAGTATTGAAGATCTGGTATGGGGCTGGGGATTTATCTTAGTTGGTAGATGCAGGAAACTACAGACACCATCCATCCCTAGCACCGTATAAACCAGGTATAGTGGCTCATACCCAAAATCCCAGCACTGAGGAAGTGGAGGCAAGCAGAGGAAAAGAAGTTCAATGTCATTCTTAGTACAGAGTGAATTTGAAGCCAACCTGAGTGACATGAGACCCTATCTCAAAAAATAAATAAATAAATAAATAAATAATAAATAAATAATAAATTAATATAGAAATAAATACCTGACTTGGCATATCAGCCCTATACATTTTTATTTTTATTTTTTGTTTGTTTATTTGTTTGTTTGGTCTTTTTGAAACAGAGTCTCTCTGTAGCCCTAGCTGGCCTGGAGTTCACTATGTAGACCGTGTTGGCCTTGAACTCACAGAGATTTATTTGCCTGTCTCTTCCTCCCAAGTGCTGGAACTATAGGCCTGTGCTACCAGGCCCAGCTACATTTTTATTTTTATGTCTTTTTCTAAGATTCTATTTGCCTGCTTGTATGTAAGTACACCAAGTATCTGCCTGATGCCTGCAGAGGCCAGAAAAGGGTGTGGGATCCCCTGGAACTGGAGTTACATGGTAGTTGTTAGCCACCATGTGGGTGCTAGGAAACAAACCCAGGTCCTCTGCAAGAGCAGTCAGTACTCTTGACCACTGAGCCATCTCTCCAGCCCTCTCTGTTCTTAAACAAGTACTTTTCCGTTCTGAGCTTCAGTATCCTGAACTATAAAATGGGCTTCATAACAGTGTACGTTTCATGAAGTTGTAGGGATTAAATGAGTGCTACTGGAGTGATTTTCAGAGCTCACTGTATGGGTAGTTTGCCGTGCATGGACAGCAGTTGATGAATAATGGACAGTGGAAGCTGCTACTGTTTCCACTTCTGTCTAAGAAATCAGAACAAGATCAGTGTGAGACCAGAATCAGGCCCAAGATGGGTATCCATCATGTTTGAAGGGATACAGTCTCCTGCTTCAATACCGTCCCTAAGTGGGATCACAGTCTTCCTTAACCTTCTCAAGGCCAGCCATGATGCCTCTCAAGCTCTTGCTTATGTAGTTAGTCGCCAGGTACAGGCCAGAGGTTTACTCATTTTCACTTGTTGTGGATTATGGGAAGAATGATGCTGCCAAACTTGGTTCTAAAATCTGGACAGTGGCCTAAGACCCAGAGGTAGCAAAAAGTGGGCCACAGTGTGAGATTTTCAGTAATGATACAGAAATTCTGATTGAGCTGGGCACACTTGTAATCCCAGCAGGAAGATCAAGGGTTCAGGGCCAACTTCAGCTACCTGGCAGCCAGCTTGAGCAATATAAAATCCTGTCTGAAAAGAACAAGAAAGAAAGAAAAAGAAAGAGAGAGAAGAAAAAGAGAAGAAAAGAAAGAAAGAAGGAAAGAAAGGGAAGGAAGGAGGGAGGGAGGGAAGGAAGAAGGGAAGGAAGGAAGGCAGGAAGGAAGGAGGGAAAGAAGGAAGGAGGGAGGGAGGGAGGAAGGGGAGGGAGGGAAGGAAGAAGGCAGAGAGAGGGAAACACGCAAGACTTCCAGGAACATTTACTGTTTGACTGGCTGAAACCTGATAATAAAATATTTGGAAGGATTTTTTCCCCAGAGTGCTGCAATCAGAACTTGGCCCCACTGAAGGCTCACACTAGGAGCCCTGCAGAGACTCTTCCGGAGGAGAAATCTCAAACAGAATCTCTCCAGACCCTCGTAATAGGCAAAGGTGGCCCCAAACCCCTCAGAGAAAATGTGTTCTTTCTGTACCTCTGAAACCTAACTTCCTACTCATCTGAGGACCATCCCTTTGGAAGTGCAAACCTCAGAGATGATTTTTTAAATTTCTGTTTATTATTCATTTATCTATTTTTTTATTTTAAATTTTTTTTTTTACAATTAAAGTTACAGTTTTAACAATATACAAAATATTACAGTAATTCAGATTTTTTGGCATAATGATTACAGATTTGATAAATACATTTTATATCACATAATAGCGATGAGGATTATACAAAAGCTATTAAAACAATTATGAGAATAAATTCTATTGTCACTTAAGTATCTAAAGCTATTTTCCTTTGC